ACACACACATATATAAATACAGAGACAAATATAAATAAAATATACGAAGGGGATAAATAGAATAAATAGGAATAAAGATAAAAATACAAGTGAATTGCACATTTCAAGTATTTATTACAGGTGCAGTGATAACAACTTTAAACTGTTGAGTTGAATCTATAATCTTAAATGCTTTTGAATGCTTGTTATAATCTTAAGTGTGTATGTGATGATTCTGTTGATTTTGAGTACATCCTGTACAGAGTCAGAGTGACAGGAAACTGCAGGGTTGCAGAGCGTTTGCTGAAGTGAAACCGAAAGCAGAATCTAAGTGCAGGTTATTCTGAGGAGCTAGTTAGACGAGGCTATGTGAATAGCTAGGTTATTCAAATTGTCTTTTATACTTTTATATTCTTTTATTAAGCTTTTAGTAGAGGTTCTTGATTAAAACATTTATTCAACATAGTACATATAGTTTCAGTTAGGTTGTTCCACATAAGGATGCGCCTCTGTTCTTGTGAAAGGTCAGAAGTGCAACGGGTGAGATGAGAGAGCATGTAAGGATGAGACACACATATAGTTAGTGAGTGTTAGTACGCGAGAAGTGACATAGAGGCCGAGTGAGGTCGTGACATATACACACACACACACACATTAGTTAGACTCTTTTATGGGTGAGAGGTTAGTCATGTCTGGTTGTAAATGCGAAATTGTCTCTGTAAAAGAGAAACGGTGACTTGCAGGATGAGTGTCTTGAACGGGAAGTCAAAAGGTTGACAGGAAGAACCGGCCATAAAGATAGAAGACAATGTTCTTTGGAACTGTATTAAAAGTCATTGTGGCAATTCCCTCCAACAGTTATTATTAGGGAGTCCAAAAAGTATATGGTGCAAACTGTGCAAACACACTAAGTCCCTGAGCGGTCCCTTGGACCACTGTGAGCAACATCAGATGTGTGCACTGTGGTCACGCCAGCAAACCATCCATTCAAGTTACATGGTTTATTAAAAGAGTCAAATTACAGCATTTACATTTCTGTTAGAATGCTTTTAAAGGGTTCAGCCCACTTACAATGAAAATGACAAAAGTCTTGTTTGTGGCCTGTGTAGTATGTTAACGTATTTGGATGTATAAATATTTATTTTTAGCAATGGCAAACATAAACTGCTAACCAAACCAAGCAGACTATAAACTCCAATATTGAAAACATGATTAGGATTTTTATTAAAAAGCTCTGACTTGTATTATGAGTCAGTTTGTGAAGCTATGCTGCTATGCACTGGGTGAGATTGTCCTACTGTGGTCTGGGAGAGAGTCCTGTAACTCTCCCAGACCACAGTAGGACAATAAAAATTGTAAATAAATGACATTAGAGGAGCAGAATTCTAATTGAGAACTTAAATTTCATCTCATTTTTCCTGTGTCCTTCTCACTTCTCCAGTGGTTGCACACTTTGTCCCAGCTGAACCCCCCTCTGCTTCTTTCACATTGTGTCATGAATCGCTGTGTAGCAGGCACTCAGGCACGAGGTTTAAACACAAAGAACTCAGCTTTATTTGCTGGCAGGGGAAAGTCATACAAAAGCAAACTAAACTAGAAAAATTTGCATTTCCTGCGAAAATGCAGTGGGATGCCTTAACGCTGAAGATGTCTGTTGAAAAAAGCTGAAAAAATTGAAAGTCGAAAAAAAAATGCTGCCCTGAGTAGGATTCGAATCTGGCCATACTGGTGTAAGGGTGGCTAATTACTCACTGAGCCAAACTCATTCTCAGAAAGAAGAGGTGGAGACACTGACAATTGTGCTGAAATGAGCAGAAGCTGCTGAGAATTGTGCTAATAAGAGGAGAAAAGGCTGCAAATTTTGCAGAAAAGAGATGTAGCAGCAGAATTTCTGGAAAAGCTTAAAATTCTAATGAAAACAGCAGAAGAGGCTGAGATTTGTGCTGATAAGAGGTGAAAATGCTGAACCAATCAGAGGTAGTGCTTCTGTCTGCTTCAGCAGGCTGTGTACTTGTATGTATTTCTGCCATGGACTGTTAACGTGTGGGACTAATAAAGGTTATCTTATCTTATCTTATCTTAACAAGAATCTGAGGTCCATATTAGAAAAGCTGCTAAAATCATAAAACTTTGCAGAATTGTAATAAATTATCATTATGAATTACTTGTCTGTGATAGTGTATTAATTTGTAGTGAAAAAAACATGTGGACAAGGTGGAATTGAACCCACGACCTTTGGGCTTCAGACCCGTGTCATTACCAACTGCGGCACTGGGAAACAGGGTGATGAGCAGTCAGAATTAGATCCCGGTAAGAGGCGAAAAACGCCGTTTTTTGGAGTTACAAAACGTCGTGTAA